GTGGATCTCTCTCAAATTTGTTCATTTCGTGATGATATCTTCAATTCTATAATTTTTGTGAATGTTTTTGTAATTTTTGGTAAAAGTGATATTTTTGACTTTATGTTGAAAACCGCAAATCCGATTGCTTTTATATTACATATATAGGTACTACATGTGGACCTTTTTCAGATTTGTTAATTTCGTGGTAATATCTTCAATTATCTAATTTTGATGATTATTTTTGTCGTTTTTAGTGAAAAGGCTGCTTGTTTTATGCAAAATGGCTGTCTGGCAGCCATGTTAATTTTATTTCCCATTTCTTGGATGTATCTTGACTGATTTTTGTTCAAAGTAAAGACAAGATATTAGCCTCAGTTTAATCATTGACCAATTGCATTGTATGTTTTATATCATGTGACTTCACTAAATGATATGCATACAAGCAATGCATTTATGTTTATATAGCCCCGGTAGTTGGTTGAGTTAATAAGAAGAGTTCAGCATGTTACTCTATGTGCAACTTTAGGTGTCATTTTAGGTCTTGAGACACCGAGTCATTGTATTTCCCACTATCTGATATCTTTGTAATATACATCTGAATGAAATGACGGTTCAATGATTCTACACACTTCAACCCAACAAATCACATTTTTTCACTATTTGAAAAAAACAATCCAAACAACTGTACAGAAAGGTAGACAATATTGACCTTTGAACTATATCTTGTGTGTCACAAAGCATAACAAATTAACAATGCTGTATGGTGAATTGTCAGGTTACTTCAGTGTGTGTTGGGAAATCAATATTCAGAAAGGATGTGCTCAGAAGGAATTAGGGGAAAAACAGTTGCAATAGGAATTTTTTGTATGAATTTCTAGCTGACATTATTCTGGACCAGCTATCGTATTTTAGCAATTACTCAATCCATCTTCTCAGGAAATACTGTAATACTGTGTTAAATACATTGTTTTGGTCAATGATTCTAATTTTGAAAAGCGAAATTGAGAAAGCCATTACATGTAATTGAGATATTCATTCACATTTATGCAGATTATTTTTGAGAGTGAGGCAAAATACCCCTGTAATGATCGTATACAGAGAATTCAGGTTTTCATACACAAACTGCTAATAGAACTACAATAGAGCAATGAATTCGTCTAACGAATTAGTAAGAAGCAGCATCAAATAAATTGTAATTATGCACACTTAGACAACATCAATGAAACGCAGACAATTTTAGTACTCAAAACAGCTGAGCAAAGACAATTACATGTCAAATTGAAAGAACAATTCATTAACCATTGGAAGTAAGGATTAAACAAAATTAACAAAAATAAACTCACATTTCGACTAAGTATATAACCATGATGTAAGTATAGTTAATCTCACCTTGTATATCTGTGTTGTTTGAAGTGCAGAAATCACGCTTATATCTTGGAAGTGTCACCAGACTGAAGAGTACCAGTTGGGGTTATAAGGTATGATTACCAATAATAATAATAATAATACTAATAATAATAATACAGTTTTATTACACTGTAATTAAATTACAAATTCATTTCCTTCCAAAGTGCGATACAATTGTTAATGTTTTTATATTATTATTTAATTGTATATGTCAACATTTCTGTACTGTACTAATAAGTCGCCGCTTTGTACTTCAACCCCCCCCCCCCCCCATGGCTCCGCCCTTTCCCTCTCACGTTTCCTGTCTCAACTACAGGACTATTTGTTTCCCATGATCCCTGTCGTATAATCTGCGCATGCGCCGTACGTATTCTAACATGGCGGAACACACCGGGTAATATCGCGATTGACACTTGTCTGGCTGAAATAATTACAAATTTTAATGTTATCAACCGAGAAAAAAGAATTTTGGATAATTTATTATGGGAGACACAGACTCTGCTAATGATCCAGAGCTCCAGGTCAAGAAATTGCAGGATTTAGTTAAGAAATTGGAGCGACAAAATGAACAGCTAAGGAACAAGACAAACCTTGACGAAATCGGAATGGAAACAACCAACTCGTCGGCAACGGAAATAAGCAAACTGTCACGATCGAACAGTGAAACATTCACAAAAGACGTTATGAACTTGAGTCTTGACACTGTCGATGAAATACAAGTAGACACATTTGTGGACGGTGACGAAGATACATGGTAAGTAATGGTGACCGACGATGACTACAACATGACCATAATAAACTGATCATTGTTTGGGCTGGGCTTGACCTTCCGAGTTTTTAGACTCTTTTTCCACTTACTACATTTATTTATAGAAAGCGTGGGACGTATTGTCAGCGTTCTTCGCTATGTCACAAGATAATATCAATAGTATTCTGATTTCAGTGTACGCTCAACCGGTTACTAGTTTCCTGCTTTTCAAATTACTGCATATTACTTGTCCTCAGTAGGGGTCGATGTAAACTGTGTCACGTACATGTCCGGGGGACGGTCGATTCGTCCCAAATCACATTTGTCCCAAGCCAATTCGTCCCACAATGTCGATTCGTCTCAAGTCGATTAGTCCCACAGGTTAATTCGTCCCAAAGTCGATTTGTCCCACAAGTCGATTCGTCAGATTTAAGGTTAGCCCACTACTAACTCGCCAAATAAGCACAACAAATCCAAACAACGAACTGCTCACGTATACGTCATGCATTAGTTAATAAATACAAATACATCGTACATGCAACGTAGTTATTAGTTAATAAATACAAATACACCGTACACGCAACGTACAATTTATTAGTTAATAAATACAAATACACCGTACATGCAACGTATAAGTTATTAGTTAATAAATACAAATACACCGTACACGCAACGTGGAGTTATTAGTTAATAAATACAAATACACAATACACGTAACGTACAAGTTATTAGTTAATAAATACAAATACACCGTACATGCAACGTATAAGTTATTAGTTAATAAATACAAATACACCGTACATGCAACGTACAAGTTATTAGTTAATAAATACAAATACACCGTACACGCAACATGGAGTTATTAGTTAATAAATACAAATACACCGTACACGCAACGTGGAGTTATTAGTTAGCATGTCAGTAACAGTTGGCATAGAAATTGACCCTGCTCAAGATCGTAATGCTGACCAAAAATTAAAAAAAAATGGACGAATATGAAATGGGACGAATGTGAATTGGGACGAATCGACTTGTGGGACGAATGTGTTGGGACGAATGTGAATTGGGACGAATTGACTGTGAATCACATGTCCTTGTTAATGAGTAACACGTTCGAGCTGAACTACATCTTAGGATTGTTGCAACCAACAATGATTCATTCATGCAATATTAGTGTGTAATCTTTTAAGGTTATCACAATTATTATTATTATTTTATTTCCATTTCTCTAAAGAAATATACCCCACTAACCTGGGGGAACAGGTTACAATGCGAAAGTTACAGGCGTGACTTTAATCGCCTCAATAAAATAAAGTATTATATATATATATACACATACACACACATATACAACTCATCTATTGGAGAATTCACACTGACAAATTATATCTAATCTGAAAAGCTGTGTATACAAATCTTGCAATACTTTGGATGATTTCATGGTTATCCTGAGAAAAAATATATGCAAGTTTACGGATAGGCGAAAAGAACTCGAATTGTGGTTCAATGCGGTTAATTCGATCAAAAAGCGGTTTTCGAATATGGTTATATGCTGGACAAACTACCAGAAAATGAGTTTCATCTTCAACAGCATCTATACATATTTGGCAGGTTCTATTTTCCACTGGAGTTCCATAATATCTACCGGTCTCAATGTGTAACTTATGATTAGAGCACCGGAGTTTAGTTAAAGCTTGTCTGTGCAGGGGAACACGAACGATATCCAAATAATTCTCATAAAAAATATTTGTTTTAAATTGGCGAAACATTCGTAACTTATTTCTACTGTTTGGGGATCTACGAACATCATCAAATAAAGCATCTTTCCAACTTTTGAAATAACAATCTCTCTCTTTCTTTCCAATTAACAAGTTGTTTCATCGATAATTTGGGAGATAAACCTACATGTATTCTCCCAAACAGTATGCATATTGTGTTTAATTAATAATTTCTTAATAGCTAAAGCAAAACATGGTTTTTCTATCTGTGCCATTTTTTCAGACTCTCTATAGGCTTTGTAAACGAGCCGATTAGATGACATTTTCAGAATACGTTTCCAAAATTTAATACGGATTAGATTTCTGTCAATACTAAGTGGATATCGTCCGAGTTCACCCATAACTGCACTGTTGGTTGTATTTTGCCCCACACCTAATATACATTTACACCACTTTAACTGAACATCTTCAATTGGTTTACAATACCGATTTCCTATAACTGCCGCTCCATAGTTTAAAATTAGTTTAATTTTTGAATCAAATATTTTTTGAAGTAATAATTGAAGAAATCTTGTTACCAATTCCTTTCCTGACCGCGTACGCTGCCTTTGAAGTTTTTCCGGCCAAAATTGCACATGCCAACTTAAATGAACCATTTTTGGCAAAGACAAGCCTAGATATGTATAATTTACAACAATATCAATTTGATTTCCAAATAATTTAAAATCCAAGTTATCGTCATCACAGTCAACAATATCCTTATTGAAAAAAATAATAATGTATATACGTTGGACATTATAGGACCTGGATGAACATCATTTTGTTTTACGATCTGATTCAAGATGGCCGACCGGCGACCATTTTTGAGCTAAAAAATCATAAAAATCAAGCATTTCTCGGCTGTTTACAGACAGATTTTGTTCAAACTTGATATATACATTAGACATTATGCGACCTTGATGCAAATAATTTTGTTTTTCAGATAACATTCAAAATGGCTGACTGGCGGCCATTTTGTTTTAATGAATGGTCTTCTAGACCCATATTTCCAACTTGTTTTGACTGATTATGTTCAAATTTTAAATATTCATTATACATCATGTCATAGATAGACAGATATATTGGTTTGACGAACCTATTCAAAATGGCAGAATGGTTGTCATTTTTGTGCTAAAAAATCATCAAATATCAAGCATTTCTGGCATTTATGGATGGATTTCGTTCAAACTTGGTACATACATGTACATTAGACATTACGGGTTCCTGATGCACATCATTTTATTTTTCAGATCAGACTCAAAATGGCTGTATGGTGGCCATTTTTACCTTGCCCGTACCATCAAAGATGGAAGGGAAAGGTATATTAAGGGAAAAATTGTGTCCGGCGTTGTCGTCGTCGTTGTCGTCGTCGTTGTTGTTGTTGTTGTCGTCGTCGTTAATAATTGTTATTGTGTGCATAATAACTTTACTAATTCTATTCCAAACTTTATCAAACTTGGTCACCTTATTCATCAGTATAAAGTCTTCCCTGAATTTGAACAAC